TTGCCATTTTTAGTCTGAAACGACACAGGGACTGTAGGCCCCTGTTTTCAGGCTTTCGGGCTGAACAGTCACGGGGCCTGTAGGCCCTCGTTTTCAGGCTTTAAGCCTGAATTTCAGGCTTTCAGCCTGAGGGACGCAGGGCCTGGAAAATGGCCCTCGTGTGCAGGCGCAGCATGTAACACATGGGATGGACCAGTGGCGAAGAGATCACCCTCCGACTGGACAGGTAGAGGAAGGCTCGGAGGCCAGCTCACGACGACAGAAGCACTGGGCCAGGCGCAGGCAGTTACGGTACCACGGGGCAAGAGCGTGACTTACGTATGGTAGAGGAGCTCACTATGGACGTTACAAACAGTCATGTGCAGTTCTGTGTTTCTCAGTCTCGGGCATAGTGAATGCGAATGCACTGTGCCGAGTATGAGTGAGAGAAGGAAGTCCACCAGATTCGGATTTCGTGGGAACACACGCAAGAGGCACGCGAGAGTTCTATAGTTGACGCCACCTACTTCTTGGCAAAGTCTGCTCGCTGCTGCGAAGATACTGAGGCGCATGAAATGATTGTAAAGGATCAGGGAGGGTTGATGAGCGTATCAGAAGAAGTGAGTGGTATGAGAGAGCGCGTGAGGTCAACTGGCTAGAGCTTGATCACTGTGACAGACGTGCTCACATTTCCTGACTTCATTTTCATGCATATCCATTGTCATCTCATGTTTCAACTCCCTTGGGGTGGAGCAAGAGAGTATGTGCAGAAGTAGGGACCATTCGTCTGAAAGAACTCATGGAACGGACTCGTGATAGTGGATGACTCATGATTCTCGGGCAAATGAGTAGTACTCCAGTGTTGTAATCAAATGGACAATGAACAGGAGCTATAACGAGGCAGAGAGATGCAGACGTTCCATGCAAGAGAGGAGGAGATAAGGAGGAGGAGAGTGTTTGGCGAAGAAGAAGAGCATTATCATTTGTCTATGCTGGTGTACATCATCTTGTTCTTCCTTTGTTGTTCTTCTTACCCTCTCTCTCCTCTCAAGTTCATTCATTTCTTTCTGCAATTGGACGGCATTGTACTATCTGATGAATGTGTACTGATTGGCCAGGATCATAACATCTGTCGTATTTCAGGGTGTGGATGCTTTCCAAGGATGTTCCTAGCAAAGATGTTGACCTGTGCAGAGTTGGTGCATATTGCGTTGATGCTCTTCACACCCAACTCCCTGATCACCCCCTCCCACATCTTAGCCAATTAAATATTAACTCCAGACAGATTCAAAATTTTAACCATATTTTGACTTGTAATCAATCCAAAAATTCCAAGACAAAATAAGAATGAACTTAAAATTAATATATGTTGTAATATCGTAAAATTATCTATGTTAATAAAAAAAAAATACATATGCAACCCGGCAAGGAAGTTTATCACCGGCCTGTTGCTGGTTGTGGTCGTGCCATCCGTCATGAGAGTGTATCCAGTTTTAGGCCATGTGGACCTGATCTCATCCATGTTGGCGTCAGTCTTCTTGTAGCTTCCCTGCAGCATCAGTCCTCAATGTGTTGTAAGAAAGATGGCAGCGTCAGCACTTTCTTTGCCCTGGCTGGGTCACCCATGACCTTCTCAATTCTTTTGTAGGCATCAGCGCAACACAATTGCATTTTTGTAGAAGAATTGTGCAACCACGTGATTCATCTCCCTCTGCAGCTCATCGACCAAGTCGACGTCTGTTGCCTGGAAGCCTTGCTGCTTGGAGGTCGTGCTGGGAGATCCGCTGCTGCACCATCTCCTGCAGGTGTTGGCTCAAGCCTGCGGCCCTCCGCTGACGACACATCCCCAGAAGGATCCTCCTCACAACCATCCTAGCCGACCTCATCCTCCAGGCCCGTTCCAGTCGGTGTTGAGGACGGGTACCCAAGCTCCCGCATGTGGCCATCCAGTCTGCTCAACAATTTCTGCAGGATCTTACTCTTTCCTTGTGCCTTGTAAATGGCGTACAAGATCTCCCTGTTGACATACTTGCACCGGGCGCCGTCTGATGGTTGGATTAAATGATTGGTGGCCCCATCAAGCTCCTTGGAGCACAACCTGCACTGCATCCTCCATGACCCATTTGCCCTGCCAACGTTCTTCTGCCCCCGGTCGACCCATTGCCGTATGCCGTGCTTCAGCAACAGCTCTTCCCTCTCGTCTCCTTCCACAGCCCTGAACTGCTCCCTGGCCCTGCTGCACTGACCTGCTGACATCCTGCCTTTAAAATAGAGGAGGAGGAAGAAGAGGAAGAAGAAGATGAAGAGACGGAGAAGAATTGAGGGGGGGAAGGGAATTCGTCGCAGGCCCCACGGGCCGCTTTCCAAGTTTGGAAAAGAAAAAGAAATCGTAACAGCCCCCTGTTGCTGCTTTCCTGTTTCAAAAAAAAAAAAAAAAAAAAAAAAAAAAAAAAAAAAAAAAGCTTAGCTTCACACACTGGCAATGTTCGGTTTTCCAACTATATTGTCAAACTACAGCTAACGCTGGACATGGAGAATAAGAAGAGGAGGAGAGGAGGAGGAAGAGGAGGAAGAGGAGGAGAGGAGAAGGGAGGAGGAGAAGAAGAAGAAGAGGAGAGGAGAAGGGGGGAGGAGAAGAGGAAGAAGAAGAGATAAGAGGAGGAGAGGAGAAGGAAGAAAAACAGGAGGAGGAAGAAGAGAAAGGTTAGAGGTTCGAAACTCTAACGAAATTTCAAGAACCGTGCTTTCAGTGGGGACGGGAAGAAGAGGAG